AACCACCTCTGGTTGAAACACTCGACAAACTCACCTGCTTCCGAGCAGCGCTGAAAGTGCGAGGTGGCCAGGACGTGTGCCTCGAATCGGCCCTCGCGCGCCTGGCAATTGACGCAAAGGGGCTTTCCAGCCCCCAAGTAGGATAAACGGGCCAGCCTGGTGGCAATGCCTTTCCCGAAAATCGTTCTGTTTGCCCAGCCCCCCAAGCGGCAAGCTGCCAACAAACGCCTGTGTCTGACTTGCGTCAGAAACCGACATACAAAACGGGGCAAGGAAAGCGCGCCCGAAGTCCGGGGTTTCCACCTGATTGAGACAACGAAGCCCTAATTCCCCGAAATTGAATTAGCGAATTGCTGTCAAAGCATATGTTTTGATGGCTGATTCCCTGCCGAACAGGACACCTCTCTTCAGTATCCTTGAAAAACCATCTCGCATGGGATCGAGATCCCGAAAAGTTTCAACATGCCGGCCGTTTACTGAGCCATGCCGCAAGATGTCGTGTTCGCGTCCGTTTGCCTTCTCCGTTCGGTTCGGGCCGCTAAAGGCCAGCATGCGGAAGCATGTTGCCTCCCGTGAAACAGCCGGCGACTGGGTTTTCCAGGCCCCGATTTGGAAATGCACAGTTGCGAAATGTTGCGAAGTGGCCATTGGAAAGGAGCTGTTTTGGGGCTGTTCATTCTTGGTGCAATTGGAGCAGAAAGGGACAACCAGTGGCACTGAACCACTGGGAGTATGTTGTAGTTTGGCATGCCTTGCAAGTAGGTTCTTGCGGCCTATTCTACACCGCCAAACAATGCCACAGATCCAGGGTCAGTGGTTCACGAAGCCAATCTCGAAGAGTGCCAAAATATCTGCGTACTTGGCCGGCTCTTTGCGCGCCATCATCAAAGGCGAATGGAGGCCTTTGGCTCGCGCGTTGGGGTCCGCCTGACGCTTCAACAGCAACTCCACCATCTTCACCTGCCAAGGTCGGAGGCCCATATCCCCACGGAAAAGCCCAACACCTTCTGTTTCGTCTCAAAGTCAAAGCCTAAGAACAAGAAAGGCTGTGGACAACTCTGCATTTCGTGTTAACCATATTCTGAAGATTGAGCTGCTAACGTTGACAAAGCGAAACGGCGGCCAGCACCCAGCTTTCGTTCGGGCAAGCTCCTCATGGATGAGCTTTCCCAAGTGGTTGGGCTATGAGTTAAGACTTTGGACTGACTAGACTTCCAGACAGGCTTGCATTGCAATATTCAAAGTTCGACATGAACCATTCCAAAACCCAACAAACTCCCCCAAAACAAGTCAGTACGATTTTGTTTGGCTCCTTCTGTGAAGTGTCATCTTCGGGGAGGCCCTAACATGGGACTCATCGAGGTTCGGGTGCCTGATTCTCCATGGTCGCCACCGCCAGCGGAGTCAGGCAGGGCGGATTGGCTGGATTCGCCTCGGCCCCGGCATCCAGGAGCAGGCGTGCGATCTCCAGGTGCCCCAGCTGGCTTGCGTAGTGCAAAGGCGTCCACCTGGCGCAAAACTGAGAACCAACTGCCTGTGGGTCGTTCTAGAAAGAATCCAAACAGCCAAAAAAAACAGCCCCCGGCTCAAAAACGCGGAATGTACTGGAAAACGTCCTGTGGCGTCCCTTCGGGAAGCAATCATCCATCACTCCGTCCCAAATGTAGAATCTAAAGCGTATCTCTAGAGGCCTCCAGGCAGATTCCAAGCGGGAGAGGGCGTATGGTTGAACCAGGCCTTGGAGAAGCGCACTGATTGTTCCAAAAAGGTGATCAATTTTGGGTGGGGTGCAAAGGGCTCAACGAAAACAGCACTGGAAATCCTGGTTGGCCAAGTGAGCGGCCCAGAACACAGAATGGCTACATCACTTCCCTGTCGCGATACTTGCAGCAGGCTGCCAGCATAACTGAAAGCAGCGCGTTTCCAGGCGTTCGAATCGGCGGTGCGGATCCGCTCGTGGAATCCTGCTAGGGAACTCAATACATGGGTTGAGTTTTAATCAAGAGCCGTGCAAATTGCTTTTATGGTCCCAGGCTTCGATTTGAGAGGGGCTAGGAAGGAACGTCAGATAACTTTGACTAAGCACGGACCTTCAAATGTGCAGAAACCAGCAAGAACCCCCCAATCACGTCAACACAAGACCGAAACAAACCTCTCTTCCAAAACCTGCTCTTTCGTTCCACAAACCCGAAAGAGCAGCGCCTGCACTCGTCTGCCATGGAGATCTGAGCCCCGGCTTGCAGAAGAGCCTGGACAAAATGAGAAATTGGTGTCCAACCTGCATGAAAACAGCCGTTCGTTTGCGTCTGGCTCGTTCGGGGTGGCCTTTGCAATGGTCGAACCAAGGAGCCGGTCAATGAACCGTAGTTTGCCAACCAGAAACTCGGTGGACTTGGTAATTGATTGGCAAAGTCACGGTTCACGGTTTGTTGACCGTTTTTCCTCACATGGGTCAGAGAGCACAGCCCTGACGGTTACGTCCCGCGCCCCGCCCCAACCTTGACACGAGAAACACAGCTCCCGCCATGTCTTTTCAATTGACATTCTCCAATTGCTTGATTTGCACACGTTTCTAAATTGTTCTCCATCTTGGAATGTCATTACCTGGCTCAGCTAGGCATCCACTCCACAGTTGTTGAGTCCGTCTACGGGGGCCTGAGAAATTTGACATGACAAGAAGCTGCCAGAGAAAAACGAGCAATGCATATGAAAGAATCTATCGCTAAGCAGCATCAGCACTTTAACAGTTGTGTCCCTCCGGCGTTGCAAATGATGCAGATAGACCGATGTAAATTTGTCCGCAAGAAAGTCGGAGACGTGCGTCACCTGGCAAAAGACACACCGCAAATGAGACACGCAGTCGGAGGGAAACAGCCAAGCAGTCATAACGTACGCGGGGGATCAAAAATGGAGCAGTTTTCACACGTGAGGTCATGTTCATTCACGTCAACTAACCCGCAAAAGGAACGCCGACGAATTTGAGCGAACATAAAAGCAATTGCTCAAACCAAAACGACCTAATCCCAGTGAACCCAAAAATTCCTGGCCTGCAGCGTGTCAGAGTTTCCGGCCTGTGCCGCTCCTGGCGAAGTGTCCAAGCGACTGCGGTTCTGGTGCCGATCGCTCAAAACCATCTGGGCCAACTGAGAAACGGAGAAACGTTGAGCCCGGACAAACATATTTTGTTTATGCATGTGTGTTCATCAATACAGAAAAATCATAAACATCTAAGTGTGATCTTGTAAGGCTGGCCGCATGAACAAGAACTACACAAACTTACAATTGGCTCATCAATGGCTTCCATGATACGCTATTGAATCGAACTGCAAACGGAGTCTGGGAGAGACCATCGTTCCTCCTGAGAAAAGCTTTGCAAGAGCTGTTGATACACATGGCACGCGGTTGGTGTGCTTCATTGCGCAATCATGTTGAAAACAAGCAGACCGCATGGCGCGACGACCCACTCTTGTCCATCAAAACCTCAACGTCATAAAATGCTTCCTGCAACACAGATGCTGAAGCATCCCTCACATGGACTGCCCCAAAAATTGCAGGAGAGACCCAGGGACCCCCTCCCCAGTCATCAACAAAAAGGAATCACGACTGCGGTGGTCCCCTGAGGAAACGTTAGTGATTGTTTCATTTGGAATATTTTGGGATCCAAGGTCACATGCCTGCCCACCTGAAGCACAGGCTGCACAAACCTGCCAACATTATAATCGAAAGCGTCAAAACAGGAGTAAATGAATCCCATAGTAACAGGCCTTCATCATGGAGCCCGAGCTTGGTTGCCCCCTTACCACCCCCGAACAAACAAGCGCTGGTTGTTGGGATTGTCAACAAACTGCAAGCCGTGAGCTTTTTCCGACAAATCAGACCCTGAGGGCAATGTTCCCCACAGCTGGCTGGTGCTTGGAAACCTGATATGTGCTCATTTGCTCGTTGGTTGGTTTGTAGCAAGATGACCATCCAACAGAGCTGGCGCTGGCTGATGCCCCACTCATACCCCGCTCGAGGCCAAGGCGCTGTGCATGGGCGTGCAGCAATTCTCGTCCTGCACGGACGAGATGGTAAAATGGAAGAGTTCGGACAGGAATGCCCTCAATGGATGGTGGGCACCAATCCCAACGCGCCCCTAATAGAAATTCACGCCCAAATCAAGATCTTCACAATGCATTTGGCATATGCTGCGTCATGGACACATCAAAATATCCCATTGTTTGTCTCGTATAACAATCAAACTCATCCTGCCTCAGAATCGCTTCCAAATACCTCTTTGATGCATCACGGGGTAGGAATGTGCTGAATCATCTGCCACACAGCCAACTTGGGTCTCACTCCTTGGCATCAGCTTCTGCCTTTGCCGTAAGCAGAAGCTTCAGCGACTCCAGGAACTTGAGTGGCCGGGTAAAGTTCTTGACCTCGGAGAATGCACCGGACCAAATGTGCCTTAGGTGGGCTGGACTTGCCCCGAAAGAGCAAAAACTGCTCAATCTGAAATATTTCGACATTCTGAAGAAGAGCTGCAGCGTTTTGATAAAAGGTTGTTGAGAACCACAACCAAGGGTACCTCGCAAGCATGGGCCACCTATGGCCCCAAGTTGCGACCAGGGTGCTGACTGCATACCCCATGCGGCCACATGAAGCGGCGTCCAAAATTCGTTGTTCGGGATCAATGCAAGGCCTGGAAGGCACTGCGCATCAGCTTTGAAAGTACCTTCACACAACATGCTTATGTGCATGTGTGTGTGTGTATTTATGTGCATCGATACGCATGTGTGAGAACGTGTTAGATCTTTGTGTAATCATACACGCAATGGCTCACAATTGTCTATGGCTGCGGCATCTATCCCAGACTTGCTTCAGCTTTCAGAACACTGGCGCTTCCCGCCTGGCTCCTTCTCCAGCAACAGGCTCAAGAAGCTGATCTTCCCCTTCTCCGCGGCTATGAAGGCAGCTGTCCTGCCATGCGCGTCCCGGAGAGTTGGGTCAACCCCGTG